TTGTTGACTAAGCATCTCTGACTGTGAGTATGGGAGTCAAGGATGAAAGCATTTCCTGTAGAATATTTGGAATGATCTTTGGGGTTCCTGGCTTGTCCCACCTGCTTAGTCTTGTTGATAGATAGAGCATCAGCTTCAAGTAAATTCTCTTGGGAAGAAAATGGAGAGGAAACCCTAGGGCAAAACTCTCTCTATTTAATGAGACTTGGGTTCTTCTTAGATTCTTAGGAAGATTTTCTTATGAACACTCTTTATAGAAAGGAAGTTAATTTAAATAGGGAAAGAAGAGCAATGAGCAGCAAACAGATAAAGGCACGCTACTTTATGATGAATGGCATAAAGAGGTGAGGGGCTGCCAGCAAAGTTGGCTTCTCTTTCCAGAAACAGAAAACTCTTTATATCTCTGTTAGTGGGTGCTGTGAAGTTGATTGCAATTCATAGCGACCCCATGTGACAGAGTAGAACTGCCTCATAGGTTTTCTTGGCTGTAATCTTTACAGAAACAGACTGCCAGGTCTTTCTTCTGTGGAGCTCTTGGGTAGGTTTGAGCTGCCAGCCTTTGGGTTGGCACCCCAGCACTTAAATATGTACCACCGGAGCTCTTTCTGTCTATCTATAAAATTGAAAAAAAAATCCCAAGCCCTTCCACAGGTTTTAATTAACACCTTTATTGTTTCTCCACCTGTAAAATGAGGATGGGGTATTATTCAGTTAGTTGGTTAATGTCTGCAAGCCTTTGATTTCCTCTTCAATGGTGATTTTATGAGGTATTATAGTCCAAATAAGTCTGTCTTAGTTACCTAGTAGTGTTATAAAAGAAATACCACAACTATGTAACAAAAAGAAATTTATTTTTCATAATTTAACCAAAAACCAAACTCATTGCCATTGAGTTGGTCCTGACTCATAGTGACCCCTCCTTGGGTTTCCGAGGCAGTATCTCTACAGAAGTAGATTGCCCAGGTTTCCTTCCAAGGAGTGGCTGGTGGGTTTGAGCCATCAGCCTTCTGGTTAGCAGTCAAAAGCATTAGATACTATGCCTCTAGAGCTCCTGTTTAGGAGGCTAGAATCTGAATTCAGGGCACAGGCTCTAGGAGAAAGCGTTCTCTTTCTCTGTAAGATCTGGAGGAAGGTCTTTGTCTCTTCAGCTTCTGCTTGTTGGTTCCTCAGAGATCTCCAAGAGCCTTATCATATATTTTATCCCATCTCTTCCTGCCTAATCTGCTCTTTTATCTCTTGTAAGAGATTGATTCAAACCACACCCTATACTAATCTATTTTGCCTCATTAACATAACAGAAAACTCATTCTCAAATGAAGTTATAACCAGTCTGAGTCAAAAAAACCAAACCATTGTTGTAGAGTACATCCCAGTTTATAGCAACCTTATATGACAGAGTAGAACTGCCCCATACAGTTTCCAAGGCTGTAATATTTACCAAAGCTGACTGCCTCATTTTCTCTGAGAAGTGGCTTCTTGTTGTTATGTGCCATAGAGTCAGACCTGACTCATAGTGACCTCTCCTTTGGTTTCCGAGGCAGTATCACTACGGAAGTAGGCTGGTGGGTTTGAACCTCCAGCCTCCTGGTTGGCAGTCAAGTGCATTAGGCACTACAGAAGAATGGCTTAGAGGTTAGGATTTACAACACACATTTTTTGGGGACACAATTCAGAACATTGTACCCACTGGCCCTCCAAAATTCATGTCCTTGCCACAGGCAAAGCACATTCACCCCATCACATCATCCCAAAGGTTGTAAGTCAATTCCAAGTCCAAAATCTCATCTGCTGAATCATCTAGATCAAATATGGGTGAGATTTTAGGTGTATTCTATCCTAGGCCAAGTTTTCTCTTCATCTGTGAAAGTGTGAAAATTATCTGCTTCCAAAGTACAAGGATAGGAGCTCTGGTAGTGCAGGCACTTGACTGCTAACCAGGGGCTGGTGGTTCAAACCCACCAGCCACTCCTCGGAAGGAAGATTGGGCAATCTTCTTCCATAGTGATACCACCTCGGAAACCCATGGAAGGGTCGCTATGAGTTGGGTCCAACTTGACGGCACATAACAACAACAACAAAGTATAAGGGTAGAGCACAAGATAGACATTCTTATACAAGTAGGAGAAATTGAAGGGGAAGAAGGGATAATAGGCACCAACCAAGTACAACACCTGGCAGAACAAAGTACATTACCTCTCAAGGCTTGAAAAACATGCTATGTTCCCTGAGACAGTCTGGGCACTGCCCCTTCCCTCTAGACTCTAGGTATTGGTCATACCCTCTGAATTCTTAATGCAAACTCCTGGGCCCTAGGCTTCAGCTCCACCTTCCAGGCCTGTTGGGATGGCAACTCTGCTCCCTCAGCTTTGGGCAGCCCCACTCTTCTAGTCCATTTGAGTGGCGACCCCACCCCATGGGCCCCTGCAGGCTCTGTTCTTCTACCCCTTGACTATGGCAGCCCCATCCCTTTGGCACACCATAAAGGCAGCACCATACTCTGGAACCAAGTTGGTAAAGATCCTCTTTGAAACCTACAAGGCAATGACCCCATCCTTTGAAATCCAGAAGACTGTAGCCCCACCCTTTGAAACAGAGAAAGCCCTGCTTCCCGTGCTCCTTTCAACAGTTTTGTTGATCTCCAAGCTGCTCCAGGGATGGTCCTTTTCTTTTCTTGGAGGATGACAGATATAGTTCCTTTGGCCTGTTTCCTCCCTGTAGAATTCCAAAAGTCAGACAATGTTCTCTCCTTTCTTTCTTTCTTTCTTTCTTTCTCCGTCTAAGCTGATGGATTTTCTACTCTGATAGTTAATCTCTTTAACAATGACAGTCTTAATCTCTTTAACAAAAGATTATGTAGCCATGTCCTTGGTGAACATTCTAGGACACATGCTTTTAGTTTATACAACAGAATTTTCCAAATCTTTAAGTCCTGTTTTCATTTTGCACAGTTCGTTTTTAAGTATGTCTCTTTCTTCTCGCATTTTGCTAAAAGCAGCAAGGAGAAACTCCGTAGCCCCTTTAAGATCTTGCTTAGAAGTCTTTTTAGTCAAGTATCCAAGTTCTACCTTTCACCAAGCACTTGAACATAATTCAGACAGGTTCTTTGCCCCTGCATAAAAAGCATCATCCTTTGTCCGTCGTCCAATAGTATGTTCATCATTTTCTTTTAAAACTTCAACAAAAGCACATTTACCATCCACATTTATAGCAACATTCTGTTGCTGGTGCCATATTCTCTAAGATGACAGAGACTTCCTCTGTAGCTGTTTTCACTTCCTTCTGAGCCTTCATCAGAATTGCCTTTGACATCCATAATTCTACCAACAGTCTTTTCAAGACAATCTAGGCTTTTACTATTAGGCTCCTTATAACTCTTCTAAGCCTCTACCCCTTAACCAATTGTAAAACTGCTTCCACATTTTACGTATCTGTTAGAGCAACACCTCCCTCTTTCAGTAGCAAAATCTGTCTTCATTATCTAGTGCTGCTATAACAGAAGTACCACAAATGGGTGGCTTTAACAAACAGAAGTTTATTTTCTCATCATTTAGGAGGTTAAAGTCCAAATTCAGAGGGTCGGCCTTAAGGGAAGGCTTTGTCTGTGTATTCCCTCTTCAGCTTCTGCTTCCTGGTTCCTTGGGGATCTCCATTTTTCTTGAAATCTGTCTTACCCCAGCTCTTCTTGCCTATTCGCTATGAGTTGCAATCAGAGGGCAATGGGTTAGATGTTTGTTTGGATGGTGCAAATTGTCTCCTCTCAATTTTACCCTCAGAGGCAATTAACTCTTTGAGCAAGTATTCTTATCTCCAGAGTTATCATAGGGAAAATGAGAGATTTAGCAAACTCTTCTCTCTCTTGGGTTAGCACTCAGCAGCCAACAAAAACATTGGAAGTTCAAGTCTACCCATCAGCACCTTGGAAGAAAGGCCTGGCAATCTACTTCTGAAAAATCAACCATTGAAAATCTTATAGAGCACAGTTTTCCTTTGACACACATGGGGTCACCAGTAATTGATTGAAGCCAACTGTTTGTTTCTGTTCTCTCTCTCAGACCACAGAGGTGTGGTTATCATGCACTTCTTTTTCTTATTTGCCCTTGGCCTGTCACATGAACTTTGTTGATCTCACTAGTAACAGGATTAAATGACCTATATTAAACAAGGAAGGGAGGGGCTAAATTCCCAAGTTGCCAACCTCCAGGAAAGATTCCCCCATTGGGGGCAGGCCCACATCACACTTCTCTTCTTTTTCAACACATTCCAGTCAACCCCTGGTCAAAAGTAGGGATTAGAGTGCTGATTTTAAGGTCTGAGCCTGTCTCCCCTCTCACATATGTCTTGGTCAAATACTATGGGTTATCCTTGAATAGTTCTTGTTTCTCTGGGAACAGTATTCTTGGCTCTGTATCCTCAACAGCAAGGATCACATGCATGAGATACAGTCTTCTCATCTCCATGTTCTCCAGAGGTTTTAGGGGGCTGAACATTTTGTATGCTCTCTACTCATGGAATAAAGCTATGTTTAGGGAGCTCTGGTAGCATAGTGGCTAAGGCACTTGACTGCTAACCAGAAGGCTGGCGGTTCAAACCCACCAGCCACTCCTCGGAAGGAAGGTTGGGCAATCCTACTTCCGTAGTGATACTGCCTCGGAAGCCCAAGGAGGGGTCGCTATGAGTCAGGGCTGACTCGATGGCACATAACAACAATAACAGTATTTACCGCTTCTGATAAGGCCACAACACTAGACAGTAACTAAGAACCTTGTGCTGAAAAAATGGATGAGGGCATCAGAAGAAATGGAATAATAGTCTTTACAGTTTTTCTCCTTCCTACATCCCAGATCAAATAATTCCTCTCTTGATAACGCACCCGACTTCTGGCAGTGGAGCTCTCTAATCAGGCAAGTGTTCTGCCTTTCCAGGAAAGTATTCTGTGACCAACATCAGCCAAGATCACTCCAGAGAACCAGGTGCAAGATGAACCACACTGCCCAGTCAGCATGCACCAGACCATCCGACTGAACCCTGAGAGCCTGAAAATGTCTGCCTGCAATGACTTTGTGGAACACATCTGGAAGCCCGGGTCCTGCAAAAACTGCTTCTGCCTGCGGAGTGACCACCAACTGGTGACTAGCCGACCCCAGCCCAGAGTGGGCAGCTTACCCCCTCCACCCCGACTGCCTCCTAGGCCCGAGAACTGCCGTATAGAAGATGAGGGTGTGAATAACTTGCCCTACTCCAAACCCACTATCGCAGTAAAGCCCACCATGATGAGCTCTGATGCCTCTGATGTGTGGACAGAGGCCAGCATGAATGCTGAAGGCTCGCAGGTGAGGCTGACTAACCTCTGTGGTATTTTTATAGGGGCTGCTCCTGTTGTAACACTTGGTGACTGGCTGGCAGCCAGAGAGGGCTGTTTGAGCAGGAATCCTACAGAATGGCTTTCTCTTGCCTTGCCTCAAGATTGCTATTTCCTGACTGCTGGTATTTTCCAATCGCTTGCCCTCCTTTCTCTCTGTCCCTTTGGGCAAAGAACTGATAGTCCAGCCCCTCAAAATTTTATCCTCCCTGGAGATTGTGTAAGGGCAGACCAAACTGGAACTTTGGGGGGAAAAAATTAAGCTTCGATTGTTTTATTTTATATATGTGTATATATATATATATATATATGTATATGGAGTTCTCAGAAGGAAGCTTGGGCAATCTACTTCTGTAGTTACTTTCATAGTGATACTGCCTTGGAAACCCAAGGAGGGGTTGCTATGAGTTGAATTGACTCGACTCGACAGCAGTGAGTTTGTATATATATATATATATATATATATATATATATATATATATATATACATGTACATAAACAAAATATTTGCCAATTCAACATTTTTCATATGTACAGTTCAGTGACATTTGATTATGTTCATCTTGTGCAATTATCACCACTATGTGTTTCTAAATTATTCCACCACCATCACCAGAAACTCAATGCCTCCTAAGCATTGAGTTTCTTTCCTCTTACCTGCTTCTTCCCATCCTTGGAAACCACTTTGATCTCCTTCTAAAACCAAACCAAATTCACTGCCACCAACTCAGTTCGACTCATAGCAACCCCTCCTTGGGTTTCCGAGGCGGTATCTCTATGGAAGTAGATTGCCCAATCTTCCTTCCAAGGAGTGGCTGGTGGGCTTGAAATGCCTTAGGCACTACCCTGCCTATATCATAAAAGTGGGATTGTAACAACATCTATTCTCTATGACTGATTTATTTTCAGTCGGTGTATTGTTTTCAAGATTGATCCAAGTTGTAGCATGTGCCCAGACATCATTTCTCCTTTTGGCTGAGTAATATTCCATTATATATATATGTATCACATTCTATTAATACATCATCTGTTGGTGGACATTTAGGTATTTCCACATTTTAACTATTATGAAATGTTTTTTAAGCTTTTTAATTGATAATTTTAAGTGTAAGTACAAGCAGTAGTAATTGTATAACAAACTCCATGCACCTATCACTCAGCTTCAACATTTATCAAATCATAAACAATCTTGTATCATCACTACCAACACCCACTTTCCTTCGCTGTGATATTAAAGGAAATCCCTGGCATTGAATCATTTCAGCACATATCTTTGGAAGGTAAATGCTATAAAAAAAATAGAACCACAATATCATTATCTCATTTACAAATATTAACAGTAATTCCTTAATAGTGTTTAATACCCATATGGTATTCTTACTTCTAATTTGAAGCTTGAATTTTACCAGCTTTGATACAGAATCACTAAAATCAGTACATCCCTAGAGGACACACAGAACAGGGTTGCTGGAGTTTACAGCTTTTAGGCATGTCTACGACATGTTTTTAGAACCACTTGCTGCCTATTTAGCCTCTTTGCTTGTTCCTAGTCTCCTGAACCAGTGTGGTAAGTGGATCAGGAAGAGAGAGAGAGTATGTGTGAGTAAGTGTATGTGTGTGTGGAAAGAAAGGTCATTTTCAAATCAGTGGAGGTTTAATTGAGGAGAGTCAGTTCCTGTAGCTGAGATGTCCCTTTCAGGGTTAGGCCCAGAGGGGCCACCCTACTTTCCTAAGCTGGTTACGCCCATTCACCAGGCCATTCTGGCTATCTTCAACCTGCACATACTAAGGCAGGTTTTAAGTTCAGAATCATCTTAGAAAAGACCCAGATGCTAGTCCTATTTTGAGGCTACTCCTGAAAATCAGGGAGGAAGAGAACACTTTAGACAAGAAGGAGGAAGGGGGACCATGACTCTGGCAATGATAATGGCCAATGCACATCTCTCTCTCATAGTTCAACTAACACAACCGCTTATGCAGGCTTAGGCTAAGTCACTGCCTGTAACTGGGAAAAAGAGCAGTCTTTGGCATAACTAGAAGCAAAACCCAGAGGGAAGCAGGGAAGCCATGACCCAGCTCAGGAACCACCCCTCACTCTCCTGCCTCTGCCCCACCACCCACACTAATTGCTTTAAAAATTCTCATGATGCTTGTTTTCTTCAGGAATGCACAACATGATTATTAAAAAACTAGCAAACAAAAAGCAAAATTAAAACCCAAAAATCCTATTTGAAAAGCCTATAGGAGAACCTAATTTTGCAAGACAGTTGAGGAAGAAAGCAAAATGGTTTAAGATTTTTTTTTCCTCTACTTCACAGTCCTAAGCCAAAAGAATGGCAGGCCACCAGTGGGAAGTGCCACTCAGTATCTGGGAAGAGGAATGGCTCAATGGGTGCCTTGCAATGATGATAAGGCTTGTGGGGAGATCAGAAGGTGGGCGTGCTGGAGAGTTTGCACTGACCGAGCAGCCAGCTGCTATCTTCCCTCACTGCAGGATAAGAGACAGTTTGCAATATCATAGCACTTCCCTTTTACTTTTTCTCTCTCCCTTTTCTCTGTAGCAAAATCTCATGTAAGTCTTTTAACCTTGGGTCTCTAGGTCAGTTGGAGGCGAACATCCAACAAGCTCCCCCTCTCGAAGCAGGATGATCCACCAAGAGCTTATCTGAGCAGCTTCCGCAGTGCACAGAAGGCTGGTGGTCCCTCTGCCCCCACGGATGGCAGCTCACGTTGCTCCCCTGCATATGCCATGGTTGGCCTGCATAGCCTGGAAACGCGGGGGGAAAGGAACATTGCCTTCCACCCTGTGAGTTTTCCTAGTGACAAGGGTGGTCGAGAGGATAAACCCACATTTCCTTACCAAGAGTTGACCTCTACTCAGGAGAGCTTCCGCCAGAAACTGGCCACCTTTGCCGAGATGGCATCTAGCTGCACTAAGGGCCCTGGGCCCTACTCTTCTCCACAGTGCCTGAGGGAATCCCTGCCCTCAGAGGATGACAGTGATCAGAGGTGCTCACCCTCAGGGGACAGTGAAGCGGGGGAGTACTGCTCTATTGTGGATTGCTGCCCTGGGAGCCCTGGTGCCAAGGACGCCTCACAGGCTGAAGGCTCCAAACGCAAACATGATGGGACGGACCGTGTGCCAGGGTGCTGGGATCAAGCAGTGTGTGGTGGGCCCACAGAGGAGGACAAGCGGGTGTTGGGCTTCCGGATGGAGTGCTATACCCAGGACTCAGCAGAGCATCCATCCTGCCTGGGGCCCAAGAAGCCATCCTGTACCTCAGAGACCACCAGCTCTTCAGATGGCATCTCATGTGGGAGCGGTAGCAGTGGCACCAGCAGCCCCTTTGCTCCCCACCTTGAGAGTGATTACTGCTCCCTCATAAAGGAACCTGTGCCAGAGAAGCAGGAGAAAGTAGGCTGCCACATGGTAAACTCTAGCAGATGCCTTGGGCTGACTAGGGAGGCCCAGTCCCCAGGCCCTTCCAGGGAAGCTGTGCAATCCGAACCCATCTATGCTGAGAGCACCAAGAGGAAGAAGGCTGGCCCAGTGCCTTCTAGACCACAGGCCAAGGTAGAACAGGTAGCATCTGGTCAGTGCCAGGACCAGGTACGGACAGGTAATACTTGGGCTGAGAAAACAGCCTGTGGCTGGGGCCAAGACAGGGAAGGCCCAGATATGGCCACCCAGGTAGCAGCCACCATCACTGTCATGGCAGCCCACCCAGAAGAGGACCACCGAACAATCTGCCTAAGCAGCCCTGACTCTGCAGTAGGGGTGCAGTGGCCCCGAGGGCCTGTGAGCCAGGACTCTGAGGCAGGTGAAGAGGAGACATCAGCTGAGCAGGGGCTGAGCTCCAGGGAAAGCCACCGTCAGGATGTAGGTGAGAGTACACCCAAGGGGAAGCCTGCCATCCCCCCCAAGCTATCCAAGAGTAGCCCTGGAGGGTCCCCTGTGTTGCCATCTGCCTCCCCACTGACTGACCTCAGCAAGGGTAGCTCCAGCAGTGGCACTGGGCCCCAGCCTTCATCCAGAAGCCCTGCTGACCTTGCTTCTTCCTGCAGTACAAATGGTGTTACCACCAATGAACTTGTCAGGTGCCTACCCCCTACCTCCACTACTGCCTCTGCTACCAACCTGGACCAGAGGCGACCCAGGTACCAGACTGGTGCCTGGAGTCGTCAGTGTCGTATAGAGGAAGAGGAGGAGGTGGAACCAGAATTGTTGAGTCAAGGCTGGGGCAGAGAAATGGAAAATGGCACTGGAGACTGTTCACACTCTTCAACCTGGCACCGGCTCCATCCAACAGACGGTTCCTTTAGGCAGAACAGCAAAGCTGGGACCGGAATGAGCAAATCAGCTTCTTTTGCCTTTGAGTTCCCCAAGGACAGAAATGGAATTGAGGCATTTTCACCTCCACCCCCACCTCCAAAGTCGAGGTGAGTACATTTGTCAGTGTCTAACTTGGGATTCTGTAGGACAAGTTTTGTGTCCAGCAGGACAAAGGGCTCTTCCAGGGACTTGGTCAGAGAACTCCCACTTGGCCTTCTCTGCTGAAGACCTCCAGGTCCAGGTCTGTGCTCTTAACCACACTCCACACACCAGTGGGCATAAGAACTTGAGCAGGGCATTGTATTTGTCTGGCTTAGCCCTGCATAACCAGTAAACCAGTTACCATTGAATCAGCTCTGACTCATGTCGACCCCATGTGTGTCAGAGTAGAACTATGCTCCGTAGAGTTTTCAGTGGTTGATTTTTCAGAAGTGGATCACCAGGCCTTTCTCCTGAGGCACCTCTGGGTGTGCTCCACCCACCAACCTTTCAGTTAGCAGCTGAGAATGTTAACTATTTGCACCTGCCCTCCAAGCACCAGTGTCTGCCCTAAGGCCCTTGTGACTTTATTTAAATTTCAGAGAAGGGAGTCCAGCACAGCCTACAGAGAGCATGCCAAGTTACTCCTGTTTTGCTCAGCAAACAACCTACAAGCTATGCCCTGGTTGGGATTGGCTGCTGAGTAGCCACTCTTTCAAAGTAGCACTCTCAAGTTGTTGTTCTTTTTTGGTGCATTTTTTTTTTTTTAATTTTTATTGTGATTTGGGTGAAAGTTTACAGAGAAAATTCATTTTCCATACAGCAGCTCGCATACACTTTGTCTCATAACATTGACTGCAATTTCCCACAATGCAACAGCTCCCCTCCCACTTCCTCCCCATAATTACCTCTTCCCTGTGTCCTTCCCTCCATGCACTCCTGACCCCTAGGCTGTCTCCCTGTGCATACACAACCCTTCTATTCTCCCATGATTGATCTCTCCAGGAAGTGTACCTAATGTAAATGTTCAGTTCGTATGCCTGTCCTTAGTTTGGCTGGAAACCATAGGAGTGGTTTAATTCCAGACCTGAAAGGCAGCTAGGGGCCATAGTGTCAGCGGTTCTATTAAGTTCTATCAGACCAGCAAACCTGGTCCCTTTTTCTTTTTTTAACGATTTTGAGTTTTGTTCTACATTGTTCTCCCACTCTATCTAGAATCTCCTACATAGATCTTCCTTCAAGTGGTTGACAGTGGTAGCCAGCGGCGCCCATATTTTTATAATCTAGCACTATTTCCCCAAGTCTCCAAAGAGCCTTAGGCAAGCTTTCTCAAGGAAACCCTGAAATTTTCCATTTATTTAAATATGCAAAAGAGAGTGAAAGGAAGCTGTGCAGCAGGATTTTTGGAGGCAGAGAGATGGAGAGGCAAACTGGCAATGCCAAATGTGTGCTTAGTAAACACGTTCACAGTTACTGGACCACAGTGCCAATGAGGCCCTGGGGCCAAGACACAGAAAAGTAGGAGGCTCTGCCCATGGTTAGAAACCCTGAGATGTGGTTTTTTAAAGAACAACAACAAAAAAAAAATCGTAGTTTCATTTTAGCATGCTGAAACTCAGAGCTTTCTCCATGGCTTCACTCCTATCTCCTGCCAGTTTAAATTACCTTTCAAAGGTTCAAGAAAAATAAATGCTGATTTTAAAGCTATTGAGCTGCACATGGAATTTAAATTCTGGGGGGGAAAAATTTCCCTTGATTAGAGGAAAACTGATTCATATCAGGGAGGAGAAACCTGCTGGTTTTCAAAAAAAATGACAGCATTTATGAACAGACTTTCTCTAGTCATGTCATTTCCAGTCATTCTGTTTTAGCTGATGTGCCTCCGGGTTGATGTCAGAAGCAAGAGAATTGACCACAGAGGAAGCAGCTGGGGCACTTGACTTTGAACATCAAGGCGTCCCAGGCTGTGATGCGATCTAACATGGGTTTTCTTTCATAACTACCCTACTTTGTTGTAGTGTTACACTGGCCACCTGCCCCGCGGAATAGACATTCTCCAGATCCTCAGGTGATCACAGACTAGCTTTGGCTACGGTGTTAACTCTCGGGATGAATGATGCTGCGGCAGCTATGACGAGCTCATTTATATGGCACTTTACTAATGGGTCAGGCAGTGATCTCAGAGCGTTAGCTCTATTAACTCATGCTATCCTCAAAAAACCCAATAGGTAGGAATTACTATCCCTTTTCCACAAATGAAAAAACAGAGATGGACAGAACTGCAGTAACCTGCTTAATACTTCAGAGTCTATGCTCCTGAACACAAAGCACATACCAACGGGCATAGAGCTTGAGCAGGGCATTGTGTCTGTCTGCCTCAGGCCTGGGTAGCCAGTAGGCCATTTGCCATGGAGTTGAATCTGCCTGGTGTGTCGGAGTAGAGCTGTGCTCCACAGGGTATTCAGTGCTGATTTATCAGAAGTAGATCACCTGGCCTTTCTTCCAAGGCACTGCTGGGTGGACTCAAGCCTCCGGGCTTTTAGTTAGCAGCTGATCAAGTTAACTGTTTGTATTGAAAACCACAGACTTTGGTGTCAGAAAACCAAGTTCACGTTCCATCTGTCTGTCTCACTTACAGGCTGAGTGTTCTTGAGGAAGCCACTTGCTGTGACTGAGCCTCCAGGTTATTCTTCTCTAAAATGAGATGCTGATAGCAACACTTTTATAACACCCTGTCGTTGAAAGGGCAAATGAGATGAACAGCAGAATCCAATGCAGAGCTCAGTTATTATGTAGGCAGAAACTACCCCACATTCTTGACTGGCAGTGCTGCCCACACCCTATAGGAATAGGCCTGGCCCAATCCCAGGAACACCACCAGAGCCTGGGAGAAGTAACTAAAACTTTCTTGTTTAAGAATCATAGGGCTTGTAGAAATCCCAGTAACCATAGCAACATGACTCAGGTAGGGTTTTAATTAGCATCTGGGTTGAGATCAGAGTTTTTGGCCCAGTGTGTTATGGATTATGTACAGCTCAAACCAGATGGGAATCTCTGAGATTCTGACCTTTTTCAAAAAAAAAAAAAAAAATCAAAACAAAAGAAAAAAATTCTTGTTTCTAAGACTTTTGGGAGAAAAATCAATGAAATAAAATTAAGCAGCTTAAAGAAAAAGAGAAAAGAGCATCTAGTACTATTTAAAATAAACTAGTATATATTTTTATTCTGGACAGATTTTCAAGCATTATTGACATTGTCTCTTGAATCTTCACATCTCCCCTTAAGGAGATAAGGCAGGCTTGGGACTATGAGCTGACTTAATCCTGGACATGGGTTTTTACTCACTTCCTCTGGGGGTGGTGCCAAGAACCTCATAGTCTTCACACCTTGCAGGTCAGAGTGTTGGCAAATCAGAATGTTAATGAGAATGCAGCCTACAGCTGAAGCAGTATGAATAGCAGTTTCAGACTGGCAATGATGTCGGGGCATGTGCCACTTTTCCTAGATGAGAAAATGTTGGAAGGTCTTCAAGTGATGTGCAAGATTAAGTTGATTTCTTTATGTGAGCCCCCATCTGTTAAATGGGCCCTCTTTCTACTGACCAGTCTCACCTGTGAGCGAAGAGAATAGCTCTCATTATGTGTGTTAGATGAAACTCAACTCTCAAGAAAGAGGTTGTTTAATGCTAGGCCCTGTTTCAAACTGGTCATTGTAGTTCAACCTCCTCCTGAGGGTTTCCATTTCTACACCAGATATACTGAACCAGAAGGAGGATCTTGTTAAAATGTAGTTTCTAATTCAGGGTATCTGAGATGGAAATGCAAATTCTCAGCAGGGTTTGAACAACAATGAACTGGTTCAAAGCCCTGGTTATTTTCCATTTATTCACTGTGTAGAGATAAAGGGTTCATCTGCTTTCTTGGGCCATTATGGATGAACAGAGAACAATTTTTCTGGGTTGACTATCACCTTGTTTTATAAAACTTGTTCTGACCCAAGGTAAAAAAAAATAGATATTCAGAGGGACTTCACTTTCTTGTGGTCCTGTTTTTGAATGTTTGGCAGTGGTTTATGTGTGTTTGAGATATTGTCCTCTGGAATCTCCCATTCATGCTCCCGAGGAACCTCTTGCCGTGTAGGACAAAGGCTTTCAATCCTCAGCAAGAATGCTCTGTGCAGCCCTTCATTGCAGTGTTGAAGTACATACACCTAACCCTTCTCTTGGGCATGGAAGGCAGAATCTACATCCCTGCCTACCTCCTACACCCATATGGAAACTCATACCTACTCAGAATGATGGACCCCACTGAATCCCTGGGCTACTCGGCCAAAATTTAAGGCAAAGTTGTAAGTTAATCAACAAGTATTGCTGGTTACAAAACTATAAAGTTAGGAAAGAAGTGTGGACTCCTTAGTTTCCATGCACATTCAAGACTTAGTTTAATGAGAGCAGTAATGCCTGGAGAAATAATTAAGATGCAAAAGAATAAAACATATTTTACCTATTACTTCTTTATAGATTCAAACCTGGTTTTAGATGACCTATGATTTTTGAATGACAAGGGCAGTTGAGGGGGAATTATTTGGTTTGTACAGACAAGTGTTTGACAAAAAATCCAAATTAGGATCAAATATAAGCCTACATTCAGATGTAGGGTTAAAGGAGGACGAGGCAATAAGAAATAAGACAGGTTTGTACAGGTTTAGTTTCCAGATGTTCTGGCCTCAAGTGAGACTAATCAAAAGAAAGAAAATTTTCCCAAGAAAATGAGAGTCATTTTTGTTCTAAAGTTGTTGTTGTTGTTGTTATGTACCGTCAAGTCAAACCCGACTCATAGCGACCCCTCCTTGGGTTTCCGAGGCAGTATCACTACGGAAGCAGGATTGCCCAACCTTCCTTCCGAGGAGTGGCTGGTGGGTTTGAACCGCCAGCTGTCTGGTTAGCAGGCAAGTGTCTTAGCCACTATGCTACCAGAGTTTAGTGACCCTAAATACAACAGAAGGAAGTACTGCCTGCTCTTGCACCATCCTCACAATCTTTGCTGTGTTTGAACCCATTATTGCAGCCGCTGTCAATCCATCTTGTCGAGGATCTTCCTCTTTTTCACTGACACTTCTCCAGAAACTG